GTAGAGGAGTAGAAGTGCAAAGTAGCATAAAATGGAAATACTCAGGTAAAGTACAAGTACCTCAAAGTTGTACTTAAGTACAGTGCTTGAGTAAATGTACTTAGTTCCTCTCCTGGTCTGTAAAGCTCTCCCAACATATGCAGGTTAGCATCCGGCAGCTTCTATGTGCTGGGGACCCGTACTGTACATTTCTCTCATCACACTTTGGGCTCCTCAACATGTGTGGGTTCCCAGCAGGACTCTCTGAGCTGCAGACACATTCTTTCTGTGACTTTGTTCCAGATATTTGGAGCATAATAACTGAAGCTGTTTCTCCATGTTCAGGAACTCCCATCCCCCGAGTCCTGCGGCAGGAAGCGCTCCTTCTCTCCAAGAACTCCTGGACCCTGCAAGCTGGTCCAGAACCAGAGTCCCAGTGAGGAGTCCAGCCAGTCCACCTCTCAGAGTTAAACTAAACTACAACATTATTAAAGATCATGTTTAAAGTTAAAAAAGGATGCTTTCAGACTGAATCCAGAAGTTTCTCAAGCTGCAGTCAAAGCAGGTCATTTGAGGAATATATAAAACAATTATAAAACTGTAATAATAATTACTCTGAATACTTTCTTTGGACATTTTATTTAAACGACATTTTAAACAAATATTTTTAAATGTTTCTGACTTTCTATCGGAGTGCTTTTCTTATGAATTAACGACTTAAATCTTGTTTTCTTTCTTGTGTATTTCATAATCCTACAGGATATTATATATTTTTTCACGTAACTTTAAGACTAAATATTATTTTCTTCCATAAATATCCCATTTGTTGTACTTATATCCTGATTGATGAGTCAACAGTAAAGCAGCCAGGCGTTAACGGTCAGCTGGCATGTGTATCTGTTCATTGGCTCATATGTGTAGCATGTTTAATGGCAGTGTTTTGAAAATGGCTGACAGGTGAATATGTCAGATCTCTGTGTGTTACTCAGAGAACCGTGTGCAGTGTTTTATAAAGTGCAGAGTTGAATTGCAGATTGTGTGCAGAGCTGAAAATGTGTTTAGAGTTCTGTTTGATTTGATCCAGCCAGTTCTGCCACAGCAAAGCATAAGGGCTCAGAGCTTGGACCTATTGTGTTCACATTATATACGCTTCCTTAGGCGATAAGGAATCACTCGGGACATTTTCATTGTTATGCGGATGATACTCAATTATACACAATGTAGACAAAAGTATTGGACCACCTACACATTAGAGAGATACCGCAGGTCCTTCCTTCCTGCAGCGGTCAGACTATATAACCACCACGACCCCTAGTAGACCCCCCACACAATAACACAGACTATAACACCCCTTGCTGTTAAATACCAACTATGTGCAAGATGTGCAATATACAATATATATATATATGCCGTTAAAAACTGTGTATTTTGTAAAACGTGTAACTTTTTTTAAATTATAATTTCTTTTTTTAATCTTTAATACTTTGTTGTATGCATGCTTTAGGTAACATGAAGCTGTCTTTGTCTCTTTTCTGCTGTAACAATGTTCATGTATCCTCTGTGGGACTAATAAAGGGATTCTGATTTTGATTCTGATTTTGATTCTGATTCTGATTCTGATTACACCTACAGGAGCTTTCAGGACATCCCATGTTGGACGAGAGGCTGGCTCTCCGATCTTTTACAAATATTTTAAACATAGTATATGCAGTATACAAAGTCATTCAAACTAGCTGCACCTTTACCAGCTTTGAGAACACTTTAATGATCAATAATTATAAAACATCATATATATTATTCTGAAATTGACCAATCTGCACAATGAATACTTTTACTTGTGGTACTTTAACTATATTTTGATGCTAATACTTTTACTTTGACTTGTAACCGAGTATTCCTACACTCTGGTACTTGTACTTTTACTCAAGTACAAGATCTGAGTACTTCTACTTTTACTCAAGTACAATATCTGTGTACTTCTACTTTTACTCAAGTACAAGATCTGTGTACTTCTACTTTTACTTCAAGATCTGAGTACTTCTTCCACCTCTGATAGTAGAAAATGAATGAATACTCAGCTTTGTGTTGTACTACTCACCATAACCGCAAGATGGCGGTAGTGACCCCCGGCTGTAATATAACACCACGAAGAAGACGAAGAGTGAACCAGAAGTGACGTCAGCTCCCTTTTCCTGCTACGAAGCTAGATAAACAAACAAAAGCAATACATTAATTTAATATATTAACGAGTCTGAGGTCATTTTATATTCCTCCTATGTAAATATATGTCTACCAGGAACTCTATGTTTTCATGAATCCTCTACAAGTGAAGGCTAATACAGGTTAGCATTGGTTTTAGCTGTCTGTCAGTAGTTAGCTTCGTTAGCTCGTGATGTTTGTTTTACGTCTGGGAAGAAGCGACATGAAAAACAACGTTAAGATAACACTGACTTAACAATTACCAACATGGAGAATATTTCATTCAGATGTTGTATGATATGTTTTAACCCTTTAAGGCAATCACATATGTTGGAGAATTCATTGATTGCCATTATCTACATAACACCTATATCACACTGTTATTAAACCCAAATTATACATGAATACACCAATGTTACACCATTAAAACACCTATATTATACACATGTTACACCATTATTACACCATGTTACACTGTTATTAGACCTATATTATACCCATGTTACACTGTTATTAGACCCACATTTTACACAAAGATACAGCCTATCAAATGACTGCATCCCCCAGGATACAGAAACTATTTAATAATAATAATAATATATTTATTTTGTTAGCGCTTTTACAGGTGCTCAAAGACACTTTACAGATATAGTGAAAATAAAATAAAAGAACAACAAATACATATATATAGTTAAAGTTAGAGTACTTAAAGTTAGGGTAGGTAAGTTTGAGAAACCGGCTCGAGATACACTTGTTGTTATATTCCATGGAATGCTCTTAACATCCTGATAGCAATGAATATCTTAAAAAATCCATAAAAAAATGTCATCTGTGGAAGCCGTAATACTGTAAAAAGCACGACCAATCATCTGAGCCGGCCCGGCTAAAATGACTGGATGGCCTACCTGCCTGTCAGCCTTCCATCTGTGCACAAACTTATCTCGTGCCCTCATTGGTCATGTGCGCGTTCGTGTGTGTATACAAAAACAATCACACATTAAAAGCCAGATTGAAGAGGTGAGTTTTTGTAAGTTGTTTGAAGCTGGTGAGGTCAGTGCAGTCTCTGATGGGTTGTGGGAGTGAGTTCCAGAGGGAGGGGGCAGCGACGGAGAAGGCTCTGTCCCCCCAGGTCCGGTGATTGATGCGGGTGGGGATGGATAGGAGGTTGGCTTCTGATGAGCGGAAGCAGGGGGAAGGGGTGTGGTGGTGCAGCAGGTCTGTGAGGTAGGGGGAAGGGGTGTGGTGGTGCAGCAGGTCTGTGAGGTAGGGGGAAGGGGTGTGGTGGTGCAGCAGGTCTGTGAGGCAGGGGGAAGGGGTGTGGTGGTGCAGCAGGTCTGTGAGGTAGGGGGAAGGGGTGTGGTGGTGCAGCAGGTCTGTGAGGTAGGGGGAAGGGGTGTGGTGGTGCAGGAGGTCTGTGAGGGGGGGCTGGTTGGTGAGGGCTTTGTGAGTAATGAGGAGGACTTTGAAGTGGATTCTTTGATGGACGGGGGAGCCAGTGGAGGTTCTGGAGGACGGGAGTGATGTGGTCTCGGGAGCGGGTGTGGGTGAGGAGGCGGGCAGCAGAGTTCTGGATATGTTGGAGTTTATTGAGGAGGTTGGATGGTATGCCGTAGAGCAGGGGTGTCAAACTCAAGGCCCGGGGGCCAAATCCGGCCCGCGACTTCATTTTATGTGGCCCGCAAGAGCTTGCAAAGAATATAATACATTTATTATATGGTCACATGCCACTTTACAGAAGCAGGTTGCCCATAAACTACATGTCCCACAATGCATCTCATTTTGTGACATGCGCACTGAAGAGACTTGCAATTATTTGCCCTGGAATTCTGCTTTCAGACGTAGTTAATTATGAAGTTATTACCCTATCCGATAATAATCCAATGCAGAGGCAATAATGTAATATAATACATTATTTTATGTATATTATATATTTATATATGTATAGTTATATAGTTACAACCGGCCCTTTGAGTGCAACCATAATGCTGATGTGGCCCGCGATGAAATTGAGTTTGATACCCCTGCCGTAGAGGATGCTATTGCAGTAGTCGAGTCGTGATGTGATGAATGAGTGATGGGGTATTTAAGGGGTAAATGTGATATTTAAACTTACATTTGGGGCTCTATTTTAGAAATAAATCCTGTGGTCTTTATATTGTTGCATCGACTCAGTTGTCTTGTGTCTTATCTTATCTGTCAGAGAGAAACCATTATTTATTTTATTTCTATTATCATACCTTTGACCTCCTTGTGTCTATCTGATCAAATGTTATATTTTGCTGCATGTACCTTTTTAAAGTTCTTAACAAATAATCTGAGGGGAATTTCTTGGTGTTTGTTTGTGATGTGTCATTTTGTAAAGCACTTTGAGCTGCATGTGTTGTATGAAAAGTGCTGTATAAATAAAGCTTTATTATTATCTTCTTCTCCTCTCTCCTCCACAGATTGTCAGGTTGTGGGAACCTTGGCGCAGGTTTTAACCCGAAGTGCTCTCCTTTCATCTGGTCTTCATGGCGTGGGCTCTGAAGCTTCCTCTCACGGACGAGGTGATCGAGTCTAGTTTGGTGCAGGATTTCGATGCCAGTCTGTCGGGCATCGGGCAGGAGCTCAGGGCGGGGGCGTACAGCATGAGGTACTGCAGACATCTGAATCAGAAACCCTTTACTAACGGGAAGGGGGTTGAATATTCTATATCAGCGGTTCCCAACCTTTTTCAACTCAGGGCCCACTTAAGAATACAAAAAAATATATATAAAAATGTTTCGTGGCCCACATCGAACAATAAACAATACGGAGGCTAAATAAAGTTCTGATTGGTCGATTCAGAACAGGGTTTCCAGGGTCTCCAAGGTCTTCAGGGTCTCCAGGGTCTCCAGGGTCTCCAGGGTCTCCAGGTCCAGACCGTGACCCCCCAGCTGGTTCTGAACTCTCAGGGTCAGATCATCGCCACGCTGGGAAACGGATGTGCTGTGACGTCGGCTGCAGTTCTGCCCAAAGTCGCTGCTACTCCAACATTCACCAAACCCATCTCACAGGTACAGCCTGTCTGTGATTGGGTGGAATACAAAGTGGTTTCTGCTTTGAAACAGACCGAAAGCTACTGAAAGCTTATAAAGTGGTGCAGTGATGACGTATTTTTGTAGGCCGCATGGGTTCCCTCGACAAAAAAAGCAACGGGATTTCTCCATAGGATTTTGGAATATTGTAAAAATGAAGATCTGTGGAAAACGAACCTGTTTGATAAATGCACGTTTTGTTCAGCCGGATAATCTCCACATGTCTTCCCTACTTATATAATTTTTCAAATCATAAATCTAATCGCCAGAAGCAAAATGCTAACGTTATGCTATAAAGGAACTACAGCCGAGTCCAGGGTTGCGTTCGAATACTCCAAAAAAACAGCTCCTAAGTTCTAACCCTATCGTCTATTCCTTGACCTCTGAGTGAAACGTCATGGGGTTAAGGGATAGTGGATAGGAGAATTCAAAAGGATTTAGGAGAAGAGACTGCGGCACTTTAGAGAATCCGACTGCACTTTCACTATCCGACGTGTTTATGATGCGCCAGCAGAGGTCATAAATGTGCGCCTGCTGCTGTGGGGAAACTATGGAAACTACAGTTTTCTATACAGCGGACTACAACATGGATGTTTAATAAGAACGAGGGACTACTGTAAACTCATCTAGAGACTCTGCACCGTGCTCTGATGCTGTTGTTTTATGCTTTATGAACGGGGACAACAGAGAAACATATTCTTCATGACCAAAGTTGGAATTGAAATAAAAAAGGAAAGTGAAACTTATGCTCGTCACCCTCTCCCTCCGGTCCACATTAATACAAATGATCCCAATACGTATGATTGTATGAAAAGATCTTAAAATCAATACAAATGTATTTATTATAAACGTTAGTCCTTAACATCTATCACTGTGTATCACCATTCAAACATCTTTTAAAAGTTGAACAAACCCCACACAGCTCAGTAAAGACTGTGAAATGTTGACTTTATTTGATCATTTCAGTAAAAACTAACGTTCATATTTCTCTTTTTGATTATAATACTGATGAACGTTCAAAACAAAGCACTTTGGCAACTTACCACATACGTTTTAAAATGCTTAATAAGCACCGTAACTTTCATGATATCATTTCTCGTTCATAATCGGTTGTTTCCGTGGACGGCCGACTGTTGTGTGACGGCAAATGCTGCGGCCGCAAGGCATTGTGGGGCAGCATTTTCTCCTCTCCTTTCGGTTAGGGAGGTCCAGTGGTTCCTAAGCTAAAGGAGGTTATAAAGGAAGTTTGAAACCTCCTTTCCTTTTAATTTAGAGAATTCGAACGGCACTTATCATGGCTGCCACTGAGGGACTTCCGGGTCATTTCACTCCGTTAGGAAGGTTCCTAAGCTATATGGACTATTCGAATGCAACCCAGCAGCACGACTTCAACGTCACGCCAACTTAAGATCCATATTCAAACATACAGACTCTAAATGGTACGAGTTGAAGCGTTTGTTTGAACAGTTTGCAGGAGGCAGGTACTTGCTTTCAAGCAGAACAGGGCAAACAAACTTAGAGGAGTGTTTACGTGTTCGGCGTAATGACGTACAACGGCCTCCACAACTTCTGTAGTCCTATTCAGCCACTTGGTAACAACCATCGTTTTTCAGACACGTCAACTCTTCACAAATCACCAGTGGGGTCACTGCTGATGGATTTAATGTCGTAGAACAAAACGTGATCCGTCTCTTCAATGTGTCTCAACCACAGACCTTATTTCCAGATATTTTCCAAAAACTAGTTAAGTTAAAAACCCATTGACTCGAGGGAACAGGAAGTGGGGAAATGTTGACGCACTTCCGGGTTTTAGGACTCGTTCCTGCACCACTCTATACCGCGTCTAATGTGAGTGTAGTGGGAGTCTCTTCTAACTGTTTCTGTTCCCCCAGGCTTCAGTAACGACCGTCAGTCAGTCCCCGATCGTCATCGCCCCGCAGCCGTCCCTCATGAAGCCCCCGCTGCCCCCCGCGGTGAACATCAGCTGTGGAGACATGGCTAAAGTGGGCCAGCTCATCGGCAGTACGTCCCCCCCCCCCTCTCATCCACTCACTGATCCACACACTGATCCACTCACTGATCCACTCACTGATCCACTCACTGATCCACACACTGATCCACACACTGATCCACACACTGATCCACTCACTGATCCACACACTGATCCACTCACTGATCCACACACTGATCCACTCACTGATCCACTCACTGATCCACTCACTGATCCACACACTGATCCACTCACTGATCCACTCACTGATCCACACACTGATCCACACACTGATCCACTCACTGATCCACACACTGATCCACTCACTGATCCACTCACTGATCCACACACTGATCCACACACTGATCCACACACTGATCCACTCACTGATCCACTCACTGATCCACACACTGATTCTACACTGTAGCTTTGTGCAGATGACAATAAAACCTTTGAATCTTTTGAATGTAGAGCCGCAACAGGTCATCAGCGGCGAGGAGGGGATAAATCTGGACGAGATCCGAGAGTTCGCCAAAAACTTCAAGATCCGCCGGCTGTCTCTCGGTCTCACGCAGACGCAAGTAGGCCAGGCGCTCACCGCCACCGAGGGCCCGGCGTACAGCCAGTCCGCCATCTGCAGGTACTTCACTGAACCCAACATGAAGCCCTGATTCCCTCAGTAATGTAGGGTAAAGAAACAGCAACTATTCTCTCTTTATAATGGAAGTTGTTTCCATCCATTAAAACAGACATTTCTCACGCGTTATCTTTTTATTTATTCGTTTTACTAACAGCTGTTTCAGCTTACGTCTGAATCACAGTTTTCACATCAGACATCAAATCCTGAATACAAAATGTTGAATCTGGCCTGATGTTCATGAAACTTGTGTTAATCACACGTTCAAAAATAATTCTTCCATCACACATTCCCAAGAGAATAAAGGCCTTTACATTAGTCAAACAAACCCAGACAGAAGAGGCAACACTCAAATAAAATGATAAACTAAATGACATCATCTTTCTTTCTCTTTTATGGTTTATGTTATATAATTTAACTTTTAAAAAACTATGTCTCGACAGCTTTTTATGTCTCTTAAAATCTGGCTATATCATTAACATACCCTCACTAAAGAGATGTATTGTTAGATTAAAGCTGATGTAATTACAGTAATATATATCCTGCTGAATATCTTTGGCTCCGCAGGTTTGAAAAGCTGGACATCACCCCTAAGAGCGCCCAGAAGCTGAAGCCGGTTCTGGAGAAGTGGCTGGCCGAGGCGGAGCACTGGAACCAGAAGGGACAGCAGAACCTCATGGAGTTCGTCGGCGGAGAACCGTCCAAAAAACGAAAGCGACGCACGAGCTTCACGCCGCAGGCCATCGAAGTCCTGAACTCATACTTTGACAAGAACGCGCTGCCGACGGGACAAGAGATCACGGAAATGGCTCGAGAGCTGAACTACGATCGAGAGGTGGTGAGAGTTTGGTTCTGCAACAGGAGACAAACGCTGAAGAACACGAGCAAAATCAACGTCTTCCAGGTCCAGTAGCAACGTCCTTCTGGAGATATTTCACACAGAAACGCAGGGAAGGACTGTGAGGAGAATACAAGCCAAGTGGAAACATATGAACTTTGGTAACACTTTATTTTAAGGTACACATATTCGCCATCATCTAGTTCAGGGGTGCCCAACCTTTTTTGAACCAAGAGCTACTTTTAAAGTTGCCAGTCTGCCGAGATCTACTCGCTTCTTTGCTTCTGCCATAATTGCGGTCTTGTGTGTGTGCGGACTGTCACTCCTGTTGCCACGGACAACGTCAGCGAACAAGAGCCCACTGCCCACTAGCCACGCCCCGACACATGGGGTCACGCCAATCACAAAGCTGTGGTGCGTTCAAGTGCATTATTCTGGCACAGGAAGATTATGTTATAGGACATTAACGATAAAACAGAATATTGTTGTTCTATTTTTAGACACATCTCGCGATCGACTGGGATCGACTGGTTGGGCACCCCTGATCTAGTTGTTAATTAACATGCATATTAGCAGTATATTGGCTCTGTATTAGTCATTATAAAACACGTATTAATGCCTTATTCTACATGACCATATTCTACAGGCCATTGGTTAAGAGTTTGTCCTCAATAACCCTCTAATTAGTGCTTATTTATTGTAAGTAAGGACGTTGTTGTGCATGAGTTAGGGTCTTAATATGCTCAATATGGGCCTAATAACTCTCATAATAACACTTAACAAATATGGTCTATTCTTATGTAACAAGACATGAAACTACAAGTGTTAATTGTGTCAAAATAACTCAAAATGAGGTTTTTCTAACTCAGAATAAGTTCCCTATTTTAAAGTGAAGTCTTGTTCATAACCAATAAGCTAGTAGTTTGACTCTAATATGTAAATGATCAACTAGTTGATGGTGAATATGTGTACCTTAATCTAAAGTGTTACCTGAACTTTTTAAGAACAATGAAGAGAAATTACACATAAAAGAGTTCTAATAACAAGTTTCTATCGTATTTTAAGATATGTGTACACAACTCCTGTGAAGTCAAACTGCATGGTCCTTTTATCATATAGAGTGATGATAATAACATTTCATATTTAATAATATTTGAACTTTTATACAAGTGGTTTTATAGGAAAATCCCTCTGAATGATCAAAGTGGCAGTGCATTGAGTCACATTGATTTTAGTCGCATAATTGTCACTTTACGCTGATATTTGAATAACCACCATGGATGTTTTGAAAAATTCTCATTTATTTTATATTCCCGTGGTAGTTGTGCTACATTGGCAGCTTGTAAAACCTAAATAGGATGCTGTAGACTGAAAAACAACCCTTTATTAATCAGAATTCGTCGTCTAATTAACACCAAAAATGAATTTTCCATCCATGACTCTGCAGCCATGTTTGGGGACAATCACCATTTTTATATTTCTTATTGAAAATCACCGAAAATCTGCATTAATTTCCTCTCGTTCGGCTTTCATATTTTTATTGAGCAGCATAAAAATAAATGTGCCACACCGTCGGGGGTCCAGAGGGAATGATTTCTGACAGAAACTTGACTATTGCCCACGAAGCCACAACTGTAAACTAATCAGTTTTTATAATGTTACTTTCATACTGTGTGTGTGTGTGTGTGTGTGTGTGTGTGTGTGTGTGTGTGTGTGTGTGTGTGTGTGTGTGTGTGTGTGTGTTTTGTGTTCACACTTTAATGTGCTTTAATACTCTGAGAGTGTGTGGTGTTTCCTCCCATTTCTCTGTTTTAACCGGTGCTTCTGCTGCATTTTTAATCTCAAGTTAGATTAAGTTTATTGTCACAATAGACGCTTAAAGTACGGTGGCCGACGGGAGCGAACGCGCTACTACGGCCCAAAACATTTCCATCAGGAGAAACGCTCTGCAGTTTCAGAAACGATGCAAATATAAAAACACAAATGTGCCAAAACATATGCAAAGAAATGAAGAAACATGAGCACCAACTTGAGCAGTGTTTACTAAAAGCTGCATAAAGGAAACGCTCAAAACACAACGGAAACCAGGGGACACTAAAGAGTGACGCACACAGCTGGGAGACCAGGGGACACTAAAGAGTGACGCACACAGCTGGGAGACCAGGGGACACTAAAGAGTGACGCACACAGCTGGGATACCAGGGGACACTAAAGAGTGACGCACACAGCTGGGACGGAGCGCTTGGTGACGTTCAGGATGATAAAGCAGAACAACTGTCTCTGTGTCAGAGTCAGTCTGTCTCATAACTGTCAGTGTTTGTCAGGATATCTGAAATGACTAGGTTAGCTACGTTAGCTAGCTAGCTTACAGCAGATCTGCAGTAACATCAGAAGGAGTCATGTGATCACATTGTTAAAATAAGACCATAAAACCTTTTAGGTAAGTTTCCAACAACAGAGACAGTTGTCACTCTTTAGTGTCCCCTGGGGTCCTTCTCAGGTCGATTAAATGGAATCCTTGCGTCCCTCACTTGCGTCGTTTCCCTGCGTTTAGTCCCTCCCACCAGGGAAGCATGGAGAGACGCAAGGAAACCAGGAGAAGCAGGGAAATGAGTTTTAAGAGCAATGGGACGTCCTTTCCTCCGGAGCGTCACCTGAAGCGATGTCCGTTTGTGATGACGCCGCACAGCTGTTCGTCTGACAGCAGCTCTGTCCCCGTTATTTTCACAAACACCCCCGCCTCTGTTAGTACACATTTACTGACACAAACATTTGTATCATCTGTTGTAGACCCAAATACATCAAATCAAATAAGAACTCATTCTCACAAAAGATAAACGCCATTCTTAAAATGTATAAACGAACAATAGTTGGATTAATATTGATTAGAGTGCACAATAGAAATAAAAATAATTCAGAGAAGAAAAAGAGATATGTTATCTATCAAAACCCAGTTAGATTAACATTCATTAATCATTGGATTGCACACTTTGTTTGTGTGGATATGTAGCAAATTAACATGTTAAATAGCACTTAATGACTGACTGAATGGAAATGACAATAAATGAAAATGTAAAACGAAAAAGCGATCATGAAAATGTTTCCAATAAATGAATAAAATAATTTTTGACCACTTTGTTGTTCAGATATATCACATATTTGTAACTGAATGATGCATTCATTGAAACAAAACACAGTATAAACTGAGGAGTGAGTCCCGTGAGTTTCATGTGTTTTCTTCACTTCGCTGGGAAACTTTGCTCTCATGTCAAGAAGCATCAGATCAGTGCATGCGCTGCATCGTCCAATCAGTGAGCGATACACAGTAAGGGGGCGGGGAGAGTATCTGAGGATTTCACCGGAGGATGGTCTGGTGGTTCCTCGGTTATCGCTCCTCCATTATCGCTCCTCGCTCCTCGATCCTCGGTCCTCCGGCAGAAATAAGAGCCATGGGACGCTACTCAAGATGGCGCAGACAAATCCCTGGGGTCCTTCTCAGGTCGACTATTTTCATTTTCTCGGTCCTCGGTCCTCGGTATCACCGGAAGTTGATTTGTCTGCGCCATCTTGAGTAGCGTCCCATGGCTCTTATTTCTGCCGGAGGACCGAGGATCGAGGAGCGAGGAGCGATAATGGAGGAGCGATAACCGAGGAACCACCAGACCATCCTCCGGTGAAATCCTCAGATACTCTCCCCGCCCCCTTACTGTGTATCGCTCACTGATTGGACGATGCAGCGCATGCACTGATCTGATGCTTCTTGACATGAGAGCAGAGTTTCCCAGCGGAGTGAAGAAAACACATGAAACTCACGGGACTCACTCAGTTTATACTGTGTTTTGTTTCAATGAATGCATCATTCAGTTACAAATATGTGATATATCTGAACAACAAAGTGGTAAAAAATTATTTTATTCATTTATTGGAAACATTTTCATGATCGCTTTTTCGTTTTACATTTTCATTTATTGTCATTTCCATTCAGTCAGTCATTAAGTGCTATTTAAAATGTTAATTTGCTACATATCCACACAAACAAAGTGTGCAATCCAATGCATGTTAATCTAACTGGGTTTTGATAGATAACACATATCTCTTTTTCTTCTCTGAATTATTTTATTTCTATTGTGCACTCTAATCAATATTAATCCAACTATTGTTCGTTTATACATTTTAAGAATGGCGTTTATCTTTTTTGAGAATGAGTTCTTATTTTATTTAATGTATTTAGGTCTACAACAGATGATACAAATGTTTGTGTCAGTAAATGTGTACTAACAGAGGCGGGGTTGTTTGTGAAAATAACGGGGACAGAGCTGCTGTCAGAAGAACAGCTGTGCGGCGTCATCACAAACGGACGTCGCTTCACGTGACGCTCCGGAGGAAAGGACGTCCCATTGCTCTTAAAACTCATTTCCCTGCTTCTCGTGGTTTCCTTGCGTCTCTCCATGCTTCCCTGGTGGGAGGGACTAAACGCAGGGAAACGACGCAAGTGAGGGACGCAAGGATTCCATTTAATCGACCTGAGAAGGACCCCGGGTCTCCCAGCTGTGTGCGTCACTCTTTAGTGTCCCCTGGTCTCCCAGCTGTGTGCGTCACTTTTTAGTGTCCCCTGGTCTCCCAGCTGTGTGCGTCACTCTTTATTGTCCCCTGGTCTCCCAGCTGTGTGCGTCACTTTTTAGTGTCCCCTGGTCTCCCAGCTGTGTGCGTCACCTTTTAGTGTCCCCTGGTCTCCCAGCTGTGTGCGTCACTCTTTAGTGTCCCCTGGTCTCCCAGCTGTGTGCGTCACTTTTTAGTGTCCCCTGTGTTTTGGAACATTTGTGTTTTTATATTTGCAGTGTTTGCAAGCTGCAGCAGGTTTCTCCTAATGGAAATGTTTCTGGGCGGTTGTAGCACGTTTGCATCAAACACCGTATTAATTGGCCTAAAATGAACTTAAAATGGTCTCATGTTGCCTATAATCGTTAGCAACCATTTATATACTTTGAAAGCCTAAAATCAGTCAAATGACTGAATCACACATTGTAAGGACCTGTTCAGCCAATGAGAGGTGATGTTCTCTAATATGTTTAATCTGAATGAGTGTTTGCATGCGCAGTGTGAAATTATTTTGGTGTTTTTTTCTGTATCTTTGCCAATTCTTCACAAATTCTTTGCACTTTAGTGAAAGCAGGGAAAGCAACAAAGGGAAATGAATGGTTTGAATACAGGTTTCATTTATGTGTGGGAGAATTTGATTTCTGCATTTTCATGTAGCAGTAATGGTGACAAATGCAATC